CCCTCAACCACTGCACCACCAGGGAAACCCTGCCTGCTTCTTTTGTGGAGTGAGTTTTTTAAATTAGTCTGGAATAGAAAAGAACTAATTATTTACATCATGTGGAACTAGTTTTTATATAACCCATTTTGATCAGTGACCTTTTTCTCCCTTGATATTAGTCTTCTTACATGATTAATATTGGTAGTTTATTATTTTACTCTTATTTTTCATTTGAGAGTTTATTTCTGTTTTGAAACGTCTAAAATATTTTTCTTAGTTTTGTAGTACTTTATATGGTTTTGAATGTCTAAAATTCTGAAACAGACTATTCCCACATACTTGGTTATTTGCTTCTCTTTGGAGCTATGTGATTGTCATAGTACTCTTAATAACTGTATTTGTTGTAGGCATTTTGGGGTGAAGAGCAAGAAAAGTATCTCAAATATTTGTACTTATTAGGAGATACAGACTAAACAGTTTTTATATTTTGTAACCAAACCGTAATTTTCAAGGAGTCATTTTAACCTCCAAATTTAAATATTTTTCTTATTTATAGAAGGAGAGATTTATTAATAGTTTTAAACTTTGTTATCCCTGGAGAATCTTTCAAGTTTATTTTACATGAACTTCACTTTCAAAACCCCTTCAAGAATTCCAATTTAGATTTGGCTTCTGAGAGGGAGTACTACATAGAAAGTATTATGAAAAGATTAATTAAATAATAGCTACTATTGATAAAATTGCCTAGGATATTTTTAGTGTTTTTTTTTAAATATATGAGAGAGTTAAAAAAATTTATGATTCTACCAGGTAATTCCGAATTCTTGGATTTAGCAGGAATTGATGGTCTCTGATGGTAGTTCATGTTTGTTTATCTGTGTTTGTAGCCCTTTGAGTTTCTGCCAGAAGAATAATGGGACATTTCCAGTTTGACCTTATGATTTTTGCAAATTAGCATAGAGCAACTTACAGTACTTGTAATAATCAAATCATAGTTTATTTTCAGTAGTGGAAAGTTGTTTTCTTGAGAAAATTTTTTGTTACATAATTTCAGCAACAGTTTTGATCACTTTTAATGCTCAAACATTGCTCATTTAAAGGAAGTAAATATTTCTCATTTTATAGAACATGGAAAAGATTGCACAATTTAATGGACTTTAATTCATCTTTGGAAAGCATCATAATTTCAGTTCCTACACCTTTCTAATTTTCTAATCTCAATGAGTTGTTGATGCATATAATCTAATGTTTTTATTCTTCGTACGTTCCTTTTCTTTCAAGTCACTATGACTTTTCAAATGTAAAATATTTGCATGATTTTGGTGCTCAGTTTTTAAAAATTGTTGAATCAAATAGCCAAATACTTTTTCTAATGTACCTAGCATCTACCTGTAAATGGCATTTTAAAGTAAACTTTTAAAAAGTTTAAAATATCATATATAATATTAAATTTTAATTTCAGAAGCTATTAAAAAATCGAAAATGGCTACATAGAAAAGAAGATAATATTGTTTCATTGTTAGCTTAATTACAGTACATAATGCAGTTGTAAATATTGCTTCACTGAATGATTTTTCTCTTACATATAAATACATGGTTGAAGATTCAAAATGTCAAACAATAAGAACTTGCACATTATTATTATCAGTGACAGAAGAGAGTATATGCTATCTGGTATTGCTAGTTTAAAAAGAAAACTTGTGAAAATTCTGACTTACTATCTGATCATTTATAATCAGTTTTGTTATTTGCCTTATAAATAGCAGTCAGTTTACAAATCAGTCCATCTAGGGATCTTTTCAGGAATCCATCTTGGATCACGTAAAAATAAAGTCATCTACCTGTAACCTTATTAGCAGAGTATATACACAGAGAGAAAGAAAATTAGACTAAATACAACAAAGGCAAAAGGCTCACCTTCTACGTAGTTGTCAAATTTTATCAATCATGATAATGGAGCTCATTCGTCAAAGAAATCAAAATAATTAGAAAGCTGAAGTTATAACAAGGGCTAACATGAAAACATGGAATAAATATCATATTTATGGATTAGAATTATATTCAGTCTTATCACCAAGGCTGATTCATGTGTTTAAAGCCATGGTCAGGGGGCTTCCCTGGTGGCGCAGTGGTTGAGAGTCCGCCTGCGGATTCAGGGGACGCGGGTTCGTGCCCCGGTCTGGGAAGATCCCACATGCCGCGGAGCGGCTGGGCCCGTGAGCCATGGCCGCTGAGCCTGCGCATCCGGAGCCTGTGCTCCGCAATGGGAGAGGCCACACAGCAGTGAGAGGCCTGTGTACCGCAAAAAAAAGAATAAAGCCATGGTCAGTAATCTTTTCTGTATGATGGCCATTTTCCACCTTAATATAAAGATTATAAAGTTGTTTTACTTTCATTTATTTGTTTTTGAAAAGTATATACTTTTTGAGTCAGAAGACACGGTATCTTCAGTATGATTAAGCATTCTTTCATCGCATATCTATTTCTTTTTTTAAAAATATTTATTTATTTATTTATTTTGGCTGTGCTGGGTCTTAGTTGCGGTATGTGGGATCTTTGCATGCAGGATCTTTAGTTGTGGCATGTGGACTTCTTAGTTGTGGCATGCATGTGGGATCTAGTTCCCCAACCAGGGATTGAACCCAGGCCCCTTGGATTGGGAGCGTGGAGTCTTACTCACTGGACCACCAGGGAAGTCCCCGCATATCTATTTCTGAGTAGGTTCTTCTTTTGGCTGAAATTTCAGAAACTAACACCTAATATCACAGTATATTATATAATTATAATGGTACATTTGAATGAATTTTGTTCTTGAACAAAACACTTTCAGTTTATTTGGTCTTGTCTCAACTGTCTTAACATCATATATTTTAAATATGTAAAGAAATTTTATGTATTTTATATATTAATATCCTATATTTTATATGTGATATTATGTATTTTATGTTATAAATATATTTAAATAAATATTTAATATTGTATACTTTAAAACAAAAGTTTTAATTTCAACTGCAAATGAAAACGTTTTCTAACAAGCACTCCTTGAGCCACTTTGAAATAATGTAAGCTTTGTCGTTCATTTATATATATATTTTGGGGAGCAACTAAGCTAAGACTTTAAATTTTATATGAAAAATATTTACCTCATTCTCAGTGCATGTTTACTGCCCCATTATTTTTCCTATTTCTGAGGCTGTAGTGAGAACTCATATCCAACCAGAAAAGCCAGCTGACTGATTCTCTCCATGTGTCAGATCTTGTCTGTAGCCAAAGGAGTAGATCAGTATGAGGCTACAGGGAACAGGGGTGTGCTGGGTCTAGGCAGGCTCTCTCTGGGCCTCTCCTTTCCCATCTACAAAATGAGAGTGGTGTTGAAATTTGACTACAGATAATTTGGAATCTTGTGGATTGTCATTTGGTCTGGATGCTTCTTGTTGCTTATAACTGACCTAGAGTGAGATATTAAATTATGATTAAAGCAATTAATGCCTACAAATAAGTGAAAATGTTTTAATTGTTAAAATTTTCACATGGTGTTCCATAGCCAGGATCAAAATAACATGCATAACCAGGGCATAAAGTCTAACATATTAAAAGCTTAAAAAAAAACCCTAAACTATAAATTGAGCTTCATAATAGATTCAGTAGTTGTTTCCCATTTTGTACCAAGGATTGATTAAGCCATGACATAAATCTGGACATGATACATTTTACTTGATACATTTTTTGAAGTAAAATTACTTTAAGTATGGTTTTCCTGGAAATCGTTTTTACTTTGATAACTTTTGATTACGTAAATGACTACAAGTAAGATACATAACTTTCAAGGCAGAGCTAGTAAATATGGTTTAAACATTAAGAATTGGTATTCTTAATATTTTCAATGAAAAGCATTCTGTTCTGATGTACATTTAATGCGGAGAGATTTTCATTTTGTTTGTTGTAGTTATAGAAAGAGCATTATGTTTTAACATGGGCTTAACTAGGGTACCTTTTGGTTATAGATCCTTTTGGATATGTGTTTCCAAATTTAATATTCATTTACAGTGATACAAATAGGAGGATAGAGGTGAATAGTAGAGACATAGAAGTGACCAATAGCACAGCTATGTATATATCTCCTTCCTTTCATTTTTTTATACACTACTGACTGTGTTTGGTTGGTTGGTTTTTGTTTAGTTTCATAAAGTATTTGGAAAGGTGTGGAACCATGTCCTATGGGAGATTTCAGTGTTTGCTTATGAAACAAAAAGATATCATCTGTTGGGAATATGACTTCAGAAATTTGGCTTTGGAGTTTTCCTGTATAGGAATTGCCAAACAACATAGGCAAGAATTTATAGTACTTTTCCAGATGGTGATTGTTAAACAATAATTGGAAGCTGTAGGAAAAACAGTATTTTGCATGAAGTAGGCATTTAGTCAACATTGGTTAAACTGAAGAACATTTTACTAGATATTTAAGTGCTGTTCTCATAATTCTGAAAAAAAAAAGACATACAAACTTTAACTCTGCTTAGACCAAAAAAAGAAACAACTGCTCTTCAAAATGAATTTTATAACTTTTAGAAAAGTTAACAGTAAAAAAAGTATATTTATTTTTAAAGTTGAAACCTTTCTGAGCCGTATAGTTCAATAAGTGAGTAATTTTTCTAACCAATCGTATAAATTTTGAGGTGCAAAGCTAGCAAATTCAGTCAGGCTTCTTTATGTTTGGCTAAGAATAATGGAGGTGAAAGTAGACAGGGAAAAATAGCTTCTCATGTATTTCTGTGACTTAAAGACATCCTATCATCTCCAATAGAATAGGCTACAGGGACCAGCTTGATTTCCGTGCCGAGTAGAGCATGAGCTCAATTCATGTTCATTGAGTTCATTTTATTTATTAGGTAAAAGTGATGTTTACTGCATCAAGATTATGTGTAGCCATCTTATTGGGGCCGTTCAGTTTGCTATTGTAAACTTGATGTCAGGTTTCTTAAATATCTGTGTGTTGTTGTTGTTTATTTTTTTTAAAGAGATTTCCCAAAGTTGCCGATGGCTGGCTCATCTCCAAATACCTCTTCAAGGTACTCTATGCTGGTGATGCCTCCTGCCACTGAGCTGCACGGCAGCATGGAATTGACTTACTGGGGAGGGCTGTATCAGTTAAGTGATCTTTCTTAGTACATTGCATGGGTTTTGCAAAGCTTTCTATTTTTGTTTTTGTTAATCCAGAGGGCAGAACTATGCTTTATGCTAATTTTTAAATCAAAAGCTTTTTGTGAATCCACACAATATAATAATCCATTTGCTCTCCTTCTCCTACATGACCCCTCTATATTTCTATTAAGTTTCATGGTTTTAAGCACAATTTTATTAATCATGCATCTCTGTGTTATTTATATTTTATTATAATATAAGACTTATTGGTTATTTTCTCAGTTTTGTAAGTGCTGTGTAGTAATATTTGTATTACATGCAAAGCGGGTCTCAGGGAAGCTGTGTGAATTTCCAGAGTTACTCAGTAAAACATACATGGGCGCTGTCAACAGTAACTGTTTCACTGTTCTTGAACCACTAGTGGAAATATATTCCTTAGTTTCCTTTCTTCCAGGTAGAATATATGCCTTTATTCACTTACTCAAAACTTTTTTATTGAGTTCCTGTTGTATGCAAAGTACTGCTAGGCCTCTGTGCTAATGACCTAGCCTTTTATTATATTTTTCACTTAGAAAAGAAATACATAGTTATTATTTTTAAAGATTACGTATAATAAGAAAGGTAGAAAGTAGAAAACAATTGTCTTCTCATTTCCTCAATCCTGATCCCCACAAACAATCACTTTAAACAATTTAATGTCCCCTATGTATAACCTTAATCACTACTGAAACACATTGTGCTTGATTTCTTCAGGGCTACACATTTATGCGTGGCTCTCTGTGTGGACGTCAGCCCTCGGTACTCTAATTCAGTCTACTGGTATTCTAAGCTTTATGTTAAAAAATGCTGGTGGAAGAAAAAAACAAAACCTTTGAACTCTGCTTGGAAAGATGGTAAAATTACCTGGATAAAAAAGCCTATTAAGTAAAATTCAGTTTTCAGATTTTTGGTGAACCTGGCTATCTCAATATTTTTTTGTTTTGGAAGATTAAGAATTGACTAATTTTTATGGTGTAGATGCATACTTTAGATGTTTGTTTGTGATAAATTCCTTACCAGTGAACAGGACATTAATTGTCAGTACCAAAGGGTAGTAATTACATTTTATAGATTAGTGACTGTGATTCATAGTTGCTAAATGATTTACTTGAGGCATCTTGTAAGTAACATAGTGAGCTAGCAGTATAAGTACAGTTGAGTATCTAATCTAGACTCAGATTTCTTCAGATCAGCTGAAAGTGTAATTAAAGTTTTTTTTTAAGTGTTTAAATTTGTTCTTTTTTAAAAAACATTAACATGAGACTTTATCTAGAAAATTAATCAAGGTCGTAATTTTACTTTCAAACCTGGGTTGTCTAATAAATATAAGCTTCAACTAATAGTAGTACTTTTTAAAAGGAAAAGATTCTGACCTTTTGTTGAAATGGGAATTTTCTCTATTCAGTAAAAAGATAGTAGAAAATATTAAACTAATTTTCATAAGTTAGCAGTAAGAAATTTAGGATTGCTGCTATAAAATTTACAGTGAAAAGTTAAATACTGAAATATTAATATATTGGCAACAATAAATCCATAAGTAACCAGTTTCCTTTAAGTATCTGAAACTTTTGCAATATCAGAGTAGCTTATTAAAATTAAAATGGGACTGTATTTTATTGCTTGTCTAGATGAATAGCAGCTCCAAAGTAATAGTCTTTGTTGTTATCATCTAGGTGATATATTGTAGCACTAACAAAACTTCAGCTTGTGAGACCAGCCTTACATTGGCTCTTTACATAGCGAAGTACTAATACAAAGGGTGGAGAAAGGAAGTCACTTAACAGATTCATTTATATTTTATATTATCAAAAGATGATGTGTCATTAGCCACTACTAGAGAACCACTTTGGAAAGTTTAGTTCTTGTTTTTAGAAGGTCTCATCTTGCCATAAAATAAGATAAAAGCAAAACACGAGTATATTGCATGATGTGACTATATTATTTAAGTTAGATACCTTAAAAAATATTAAGGTAGGTATCTAAAGTAATATTAAGTTAGGTGTCTAAGTTAACTAATATAGAAGAGTAATTTTAGAATAACATTGGATCTTAGAGATCACAGGCCATTTTAAGTTGCTGAAAATGAGGCAGTTTAGTGGGAAAGACATCACGTAGCTGGTTAGTAGCAGATCTTTTAGTCTAGCAAACTTTCACCATTTATTTCTGTGCCTAAAATGAATTAGAGTTGGATTGATGGGTTGGGAATAAGTTTTGAAAAGCTTGTTTAACTTTGTCTTTGGTAAAAAGTCAACTACTAAAAGCATATAAAATTGAAAGCACTTTATACACTTACACTTGTCAGCAACGTTAAAAAGAGAATTGTTAGTGACAGCATAATTCTTCTCCTGAATAAAATTTCTTCAAAATGTAGGCTAGTCAGTTTCTTGCTATGTGATTTGCTTTTCTGGTCCTTTTTAAAGGAAATGAGAATATCTTTGGAGTGATTATTTATTACCTCAATAATTATTTTTAAAGGCATGATCACCCTGTAGCTTTGTTTTTTAATTTTCCTGTTGAATACTGGTTACAGACTAATAGCCCAAGTACATCTTTTGCTAGCAGTTAATCTGTGTTTAAGTAAAAGTGATGTTCAAGTAATAATATCTCAAATAACCAATTGAACACTTCCACTATTTTTAATTAACTTCAACCTTTTTCATAGATGCAGAAATTATTTAATTATTTAAATAAAACCCTAGGATACATGGACAATTTACATGAGAGTTCATTTGGAGGTTCTAACAAGGGACTCTTAACCCACATCCTTCTGAATGTGAAAAATTCAGGGTCTTGATTTAAAAACTTCCTTTTGGAAATGATGCACATGAAAGAGAAAGGAAGGCAGAATCAAGCCAAGTCATCCTCTCATCTAGTTTGTTGAGTAGGTAGCAGTGTTGGGAAGATACTACTGGTATACTTAAGGCCCTGCAAGTCATGGCAACATGTCATTTTGTTAATTGTTTAGTTTCTCAGTTCGTTAGCTAGGAAATCTTGTCATTTTCTCTTGGGTGAAGGTCTTGTAGACAGCATATCCTACACATAGCAGGAATCCTAAGGATTTAGCGCCCATTCCTTTTCTGTTTAACCTAAGCCTAGACTTTTAGTTTCTCTATATCTTTGTTTCCTCTCCTCCAAAAGGGGGCTTTGTTATATTCTTTTGGTTTTCAGCAGCTCTACTTTGAAACTTCTCATAAATTAATTTCCTCAGTCATGCCAAACTCATGAGAAGATTTAAAATAAAGTCACCAGAGAAATCTTGTGATTCTCCTTTTGAGGTCCCTGGCAGTGTATGGTACTCCATTTCTTGAGGGAAGTGTGGTAGCTATTCCTCATTTTTAAATTGCGGGACAATCCCAATTAATAGAAGCCAAGGAAAATTAGTCAAGACTAGATTTTAGGGAGGTAAATTTAGAATGGTTGATATGGTAAAAGGTTGGATTAGGGAGTAAATTTTAAAGATTTTTCTAGATTCTAAGCAAGTAATGGGAAAATCTTCACTGTGCATCTCATTCCCACTTTGCAATGCAAGGGGACCTTGGGTCTCTTGACTATTTGTATGATAATAGTAATAACAGTAGTAATCATTGTTAATATTTGTATTAGGCTGTATACTAATTGCTGCACATACATTATTTAATCCTCACAGCAGTATTATCATGTAGATACCACCATTATTGTCAATTTATAGAAGAAACTCAGATTGGTAGAGTGAAGTTAAGTCATTTGCTTAAGATTGTATGTCTAGAAAGTGATGTAATTCTGGCCCACCAGGCTCAAAAGCTTATATTCTTACCATTAGGCATCCTGTTTCCTCTCCAAATGGCTAACAAATTGATAACATGAAAATTGCCCCAAAGACAGACTATACGGAGATCCTGTTCTAGGAACTTTTTTTAACTAAAGAAGAGAGGAGGCAAAGAAAAGTGATGGGGAGAGATTGAGAAAAAGAAGGAAGATTATAAACATTCCTATAGATTTGTATTTTTTGGTAGTAAGATTTAATTTTTAAGGAGACATTTGAGTTATATAGATGTTTGAGTAAAGATTTCTAGATGCTTTTGTATTTTTAGTTATTTGTAGACAAAGCTAAATGTATTTGTCCAGAATATTTGATATCTATAATCTAGCATGCAGACATCTTGACACCAGGTTGTCACTGAGCTGTTTCTGTAAAAAGATACTAATTAGATTTTTTTAATTCAAATTTCTATATGCATTGCAATTAAGATCTTGTTTTGTGATGATTAACCAGTCGATTTGTTTAGTAAATATTTATTAAATGCCCGCTATGAGCCAAGCACTGTGTTAAGTGCTGGAGATAGAATTGAGGACAAATAAGATACAGTCCTTGCCTTAGTGATCTTACCACCTAATATGTGAGACAGTCAAGTAAGCAGATAATTATAAGGGTAAGTAAGCTCAGGGTGATATGCCAGCACGTAGGGAGGAGTAACTTACTGCAGAGATCACACGTGGCTTACCAGAAGAGGAGCCCTTGGAAATGTCCTCCATGATGAATAGGGGTTACCTATCATGATATGTGAGCTTTCTGTTGGTTGAGTAACCATACTATTAGAAATACCAGGGGGATCTTTTAAAAAATACCAGTGTGTAGGCCCACCCCCAACGATTCTGATTATTTAGTTTGGGTGGAGCCCAGACATGAGAACTTTTTAAAAGAAGCCCAGTCATTCTTATGGGCTGCCCTGGTTGGACACCACTCAAATATTTTAGACGTTGTTCCTAAAATGCTGCTTGTGGACAAGAACACTTTAACTCTTTTTGATGTTGCTTAGAGAGAACGTGTTACTGGGGAAAAGAAGATTGAGATAAATATTAACTGAAAACAAAGAAGCAGAGATTTTAAAATATAAAAGCTAATCTTTCTTCATTAAGATTGAACAACTTCCCTAGGTAAGAATAATTATTCCAGACACCTGAAGAAATATTAAGATGTCTCTCATGTCCCATTTAAAAATATTCAGAGTAAAAAATTGTTCCCCTGGACCTACTACTCAAAGTCCTGCATAGAAATATTAATACTAATATAAGATACACACAAAAGAACATTTGTTCTTGAACAATACATAATTACCCAAATCTGGAAGATTAGAATAGTAAATGCCTAAAGGACATGTCACAGGTTGGTGACTAGAAGAGAGCAAATGAATGACAGTTAGATGAAGGTTTGGTAGAATGGTAGTGAATGGGTGGGAATGATTAGTGAATGTAGGAGTCTCACTGATTATAGGTACTTACAGACCACACGTTGTTTCATTTCTTTGAAGTATCCCTCTGAAGAGGAGAAAAAGTGTTGCCTTTTAAGTTTTTTCTGTTTTTCCAAGAAGAGGAAGCTTCAGGATGCAACTAGTGAAGTTTAAATTAACGCTTAACTAGAACCACAAAGAGGCATACCTGTGTGCTCTCTGAAAGACTGTGTTAGAATAACAGGATATTAACCTATAAGAGATTTTTTAGTGTCTAGACCCTTTTTACTTCATTTAATTTAATTTTATTGTTGAGAAAACTATGATCCAGATACATTAAATAAATTGCCCAAAGTAACACAACTAGGTAAAGGTAGAACGGGACCAGACTTAAGGCTTTTTGACCCCAGGTGCCCTTTCCACAATCGCACACTCTACTGACATTTATTTCTCAGAGTTTTATTCTTGAGTTTTGAATTTCTAGTCTAGTTTTATTTTGTATTACAATTTGTCTCCTGAAGGTCAAGTAACCTGGTTTGGTTATGAAAGTCCTCGTAGCTTCTGGGACTATATCAGAGTGGCTTGCCGGAAAGTTTCACAGAACTGTATCTGCAGCATTGAAAATATGGAAAATGTCAGTTCCTCTAGAGCTAAGGTAAGGCATAAATAATAATGTGCAGTACGTGTAATCTAATCCTAAACAATTTTGACCCAAATAGAAAATTTTGAGCTCTTTGCTATATAAAATCTTTCTTTTCTTTGTTGGAATTAAGCACTTGACCAAATTTAACATCTTTCAGAGGCTTGTTTCATTTTTTATTTTTAGTAGCATGTAATTATTTTAGAATGCTCTTGAATCTTCACTTTTGCCTTATAAATAGCAGGAAGGTATGAAGCTAGTAACTATGAATTTCTTTTTTGAGAAGCACAGTAAAATATTTCCTAGTCTATGAAGTTTCTACATTTCTTGAATTACCTAAATCAGCGACTCTTAGTGTCCTGCGCTGGCAGTCCATAATGTCAAAACTATTTTCACATAGTACCAAAATGTTACTTGCCTTTTGCACTGGGTTGATACTTGCACTGCTTATGCAGAAGCAATGGTGGGTAAAATTAACTGGTGCCTTAGCATAAATTAAAGCAGTAGCATCAAACTATACTAGTAGTCATTGAGTTCTTCCTCACCATACATTCAGTCTTAAAAACAAAAACCAGTTTCACTTAATGTCCATGATGGTGAAGTAAACATTATTAGTTTAATTAAATCTCAAGGCTTTGAGAAGCTGTCTTTTTAATATCTTGAGTGACAAAATGGGAAGTATGTATACAGCATATTGACATGTGATGGTTGTCTCAAGGAAACGTACTCATGCAGTAGTTTGAATTGTTAACTGAACTAGACACTTTTGTCATGTAATACTATTTTTACTTGAAAGAAAAACATTCAAACTATAGCCTTTTTAGACGTAGGCATTTTGTAGACATTTCATAAGTAAAGATGAATGAAGTAAACCTGTTCCTTCAAGAAAAACAGCTTGACAGTATTTGTTGCCAATGGTAAAATTAAAGCTTTCCAGTAAAAATTAGAATTTTGGAAAACTTGTAGTGTATTCACCATCTTAACTCGATAACTTCCTAGTACTTAAATGCTTTTCTAATAACACTGATGTTGATATTAACAAAAATATATATTATTTAATGGAATGTGTCAATATTTTGTAGACCTGCATAACTTATATTTTTTATTTTTTAACATCTTTATTGGAGTATAACTGCTTCACAATGGTGTGTTAGTTTCTGCTTTATAACAAAGTGAATCAGTTATACATATACATATGTTCCCATATCTCTTCCCTCTTGCGTCTGATGTGTGGAATAATAAAATCATGCATGGGTAAAAGATCCATTCAAGGTGTAAGAATGTAATACAGTATGAAACATTCATTGATATGGTTATAGAGTCCATTTTGCAATTAACCTTTAAGAAATTATCACTTACTGAGTTTTGATTAGAACCAAAGGAGAATATCATCCACAATTATCTGAAAAGGCTATTAAATGATTCCTTCTTCCAATTATGTATCTGTGTGAGGGTAGATTTTCTTCACATGCTTCAACCAGAACGACCCATTGCAACAGATAGAATGCTGAAGCAGATATCTAGTTCTCTTTTATTAAGCCATACATTAAAGAGATTTGTAAAAATGTAAAACAGAGGTCTTTTCTCTCTAATAACTTTTTTAGGGAAAGATAGTTATTTTTTCATAAAAATATGGTTTTCAGTGTTAATGTATAATGAGTTCATTATTTTTTTAATTACTATATATTTTTAAAGTTTCCAGTTTTGACTTGTAGTGCAGTGAATATGGATAGATATAACCTATGTAAAAACCCTTTGGAGTCCTCAAAATTTTTAAGATTGTAAAGGTCTGAGCTGGTGACATAAGGTATATTAGCTTTAGTATAGTAGTTTATTTATTTTTATTGGTTTGTCATAATAACTTTCCTTACCATTTTTGACACTTAAGAGTTACAGAATGAAATAAAAATGAAGTAGAAAATAAAGGTTGAAAATATTAGATAGTTTTAAGATCGACATAATTTAATTCAATTCATTATTTGACAATCATAACCTAATAAATTACATGTCTGTATAATACACAAATGTATAACAATCATCTTTCAACAGTGTAGTTTCTAAGTTTATTGTTCCTGTATCCATTTTTATTTAGAAAGATTTTTTTTCTTATGGAAAATTTTTGGTTAGCAAAATTGACACATATATTGAAATTAAATATTTTGTAAAACATGGACCAAGTACCTAAATTTTAAAAAATTTATTTTTACTTTTTTTAATATAATTTTTAAAGGTTACTTTCCATTTACAGTTATTACAAAATATTGGCTCTATTCCCTGTGCTGTATAGTGCATCCTTGTAGCCTGTCTTACACCCAGTAGTTTGTACCTTCCACTCTCCTACCCCTATACTGCCCCCCCATCCTTGTTAGGATAAGCAACCTTATCCCTTGTTCCTTCTATGATATAAATTTAACATATTAGACCAATTTCTGAATATACTACTCACATCAACCATTCATACATCCATGCATCCTTCCACCTGATAAATTTTTATTGAGCACCTATACCATGACAGAACTGTGAGTGTAGTCTTCAATACATTCTTATGACTTATGTCCCTAATCCTTCCTAGTTATTCCTGGTCTCATCTTCTTGTTTACTTTTTCCTTGTTCAGAAGCTGGCCTTGTCAGTGCTTTGTCCCAGAAACTGGTTAGCCAAATTTTCTACTGAAAGAGGCAGAGGCAGAGAGAGGGTGTTAATCACAGATACACCAGAATTACCAAATACTAGAACTTTGCAATAAGATGTAGTATTGCAAAGAGGCCATTTTTATGTTCATTTTCTATTACTGATTCACAAATCTACCTCCTCTTTTAACTACCACTCGACTTTTCCTATCCCTAGTTCTTTAGTGTGATGGCCCCAAACCTGGAAGTCACACAAATTGGAGGGGCCCTGTAAACACTCCAGGCTTTTATTTGTGACCCCAGAAAGGCTGTACCTTGGGAGTAAGGGGAATTCAGATGAAGACCAGCCTTCAAAAGACCTAAAAGCGGTGTCCTTAAGTGGTACAAGGTGATTTTCAAGTACACTGTCTGTCTACCAGAAGAAAAGCAAATCTACTCTAGAGAAAGGTAGCACTAGAGTTGCTACAAATTTTCCTCCACAGTGTCCATTATTTAATCAGAAATCACCAGGTATATCAGGAAACAAGATTAAATGAATAAAACTAAGAAATATAAAAAAGACAATTGAAACAGACCTATGGGAGATGCAGATAATGAACTTTTAAGTAATTGTGATATAAATAAAGAAAATATAAAGATTAAGAATACTAGAGAACTGGAGTATATAAGGAAATCAAAATAGGAAGCTACAGGATATACATTCTTATACATTCTTATACAAAGATATGTACAAAGATCGGTCGTTTGCTAAGTTGTAATTCACCTCAATGAATTTCAGAGGATTGAAATATAAGTATGTTCTCTAACCACAGTAGAATCAATAATAAAAAGATAACTAGAAAATGCTTATATAAGTTGAATTTGAGAAGAATTTCTAAATAACTCATGGATGAAAGAAGAAATTACACATGAAATTGAAAAATATTTGGTAAGTAATGATAATGAAAATATATAAAAAATTGTGCTTAGAGGAGAATAGATAGGCTTAAATAGGCTTTTATGTATTTTTTTTAAAGAAAGGCTGAAAAATCAGTGATCAAGCTTTCATCTCAAGAAGCTTAAAAAAAAGTAATAAACCCAAAGTAGAAGGAAAGAAATAATGAAGAGCAAAAATTCAATTAAATTGAAACAAATGTACACTAGAAGCATATCAACAAAACCAAAAGTTGGTGGTTTTCATTTTTTTAACTAATTAATTAATTAATTTATTTTTGGCTGCGTTGGGTCTACGTTGCTGTGTGCTGGCTTTCTCTAGTTTCGGCCAGCAGGGGCTTCTCTTCGTTGTGGTGCGCAGGCTTCTCGTGGCGTTGGCTTCTCTTGTTGCAGAGCACGGGCTCTAGGTGCGTGAGCTTCAGTACTTGTGGCAGGCGGGCTCAGTAGTTGTGGCTCACAGGCTCTAAAGCGCAGGCTCAGTAGTTGTGGCACACGGGCTTAGCTGTTCCGTGGCATGTGGAATCTTCCTGGACCAGGGATCAAACCCGTACCCCCTGCATTGGCAGGTGGATTCTTAACCACTGTGCCACCAGGGAAGTCCCAGTTGGTGTTTTTAAAAAGATTAATATAACTGTTAAGTTTCTAGCAAGGCTACTCAAGAAAGAAAAGAAAAAGAGAGATTATAAATTACCAGTATCAGTAATGAAGAAGAGGTAAAACCCATCGACCCTACAGACATTAAAAATCCTAAAAGAAAGTATTATGAATAACTTCACACCTATAAATTAAAAAATTTAAATGAAATGGGCAGATTACTTGAAAACTGTCACTTACAAAGCTAACACAAAAAGGAAGAAAGCATCTGAATATTCTGATGTCTACTAAAGAAATTGACGCTATAGTTTAAAATCTTCCCCTTGCAGCTCATTTTTAAATTGAGTTATCTTTTTCTTATGGATTTGTAAGAATTCTTGGCATTCTACAAATGAGATTCTTTTGTCAGATACATATAATGCAAGTATTTTTGTCCACTCTGTGATTTGTCTTTTTACTATCTTAAATGATTACAGTTCATCCCCTGAAATAGGAGGGAAGGTAGAGTGTATGGGTATTAGTTCAATTAGGTTGGTTGGTTTGGTGGCATGAGTTTCCTGTCTTCCAGTTGTGTCTATTTTTTGTTTCTTCATATAGTAAAGTAGGGATAGTATTGTAACCTGACTCACACACAGTTCTTGTGAGGATTAAATATCTTAATGTGTAAAACGCTCTTAAAACAGAGGTAAGCATGTATTAATTACATTCTTAAGAAGTGTTGACTACGTTTATTTTTTGGAAAAAACTTCAGTGGCAAACAAACAAATATTTGTGTCTCCCAAACAATAACAGCAACCTTCAGTGGCTCACCATTATCTGATAAAGTCTAAAATCTTAAACCTAATTTTCAGCTTTTCCTCCTTTATGGTCCCAACAAGCTTTATATCTTCTGTTTCTTTTGTTGAAAGAAGAGAAACTGTTAAAATCAGCACCATTTATTATGACAGTATAACAAAGAATTCCACAAACATCTAAGGACAGGAAACTAGGTGCAGCCCAGTTTTGTGTGGATTGAAATTAATAAATCAGGAAGCAGGACTTTCCCCCATATTTCTTATCTTAACAATAGCACAGTGTCCTGTGTCTAACTTTCTCTGGAGAGCAGCTTTTCCCACTTCTGTTTTAGAATGTAGCTTTTTGATTCAAGCCACTACTACTAGTCTCTGTGTCTTTTAGATGAAATTTTAAGAAACTTGAGACTGGGAGCTCGTGCTTGCCTCTTCCTTCCTCTGTTCCAATCCTACGACTAACTGTAGGTTTCCCTGGGCTGACTCAGCAGAAACAATGGACTGAGCACAGGGCAAGCTAAGGGATTTTTAGGTTAAAAAAAGGTGGGCAGATTGGTGGGCAAACTGACTGGCATGCTAATCACACCCATATCATTCCTTTATTTCCCAACAATACTGCTGCTTGTAGCCTGCTAGGTTGTTTTTTTTTTTTTAATTTATTGTAATTTATTTTTGGCTGCATTGGGTCTTTGTTGCTGTGCGTGGGCTTTCTCTAGTTGTGGCAAGCGGGGGCTACTCTTTGTTGCGGTGCGTGAGCTTCTCGTTGCGGTGGCTTCTCATTGTGGAGCACAGGCTCTAGGCGCACGGGCTCAGTAGTTGTGTCTCGCGGGCTCTAGAGCACAGGCTCAGTAGTTGTGGCGCACGGGCTTAGTTGCTCTGCGGCATGTGGGATCTTCTCGGACCAGGGCTCAAACCTGTGTCCCCTGCATTGGCAGGCGGATTCTTAACCACTGCACCACCAGGGAAGTCCTAGCCTGCTAGGTTTTTCCACGTCTGGATTAACTCCGTTTTCATCCTTCTGTCCGACAGTTTTGGTGAATTCACTAGAGTTGTAGACATTTCTACAACTGTAGACATTTCAGTGCTTGTTTTTCTATACTGGTAGTCGACCATCATATATATTGGTTAGTGACACCTTTATTCTTAGCTGCCATTGCAGTGTTTTGAATTTCTATATAGTTAATCTTCATAGATTTTCTGGAGATGTGTGAAAGGGTTGGGTGAAAAGGAAAGTAACTGAATTATAAAATTCTCACTAAAAAATATAATCTTTATAGTCTTTCATTCTAAACAAAGAATCCAGAAGAAATGCTTTGGATTATAACAAAACTTAACTGGCTAGTCCCAACTATTGAATGATGTTACCTCTTTTCAAAAGCAAAATTAAATTTTTCATATTTTGTTAGAATTGTGTGTTTTCTCTGATTTTGTTCTAGAGTATGCTTCTGGGTGCTTTTGTTGTGTGTTTGTTTTTTCTGGTTTAAATTTTTGGTAATAGTCTTTAGAATATGCTCTGGAGGCACCAAATTCAGTAACTCATGATTTGGATGCATGATAAATAATGAAATTTGGTTGTCTGAAACCTTCCTCTGGAAAGACTAAACAAGTGGTGTGAGGGTGATTATTAATGAGAACGGACTCTTTTCTTCATGTTTTATAAGGGGGCTCATTTTAATTGGCATGTTGATTTGGGCATTGAAGTAAAGAGATATGTCTTGTGATTTCCTTCTATAATTCACAAGAAGTCTGTAACCCAAGTTAAGTCAATATTAATGGTTATGTCCCTTCAGATGCTAGAAAGTTAATCTGACATGATCTACCCTGCACCTTCAGAGAACAAAGTATATACTATATATAATTAAAATTTACCTCATCTTATCTACTTATTTTTTAGTCTTTATCAAATGCATATTTTGAGTGAGTTATTCTTTGCATATTAAAATGTTTATATTTTTATGACATAGCAGGCAAAATATATTTTAACTTCTAATTTTTTTTTTCATGTTTGATTCTTCTTCCTTTTAGGGTAGAGCCTGGATCAGAGTAGCACTCATGGAAAAACATTTATCTGAATACATCTCTACAGCTCTGAGAGACTTCAAAACAACCAGGTTTAAAAGTCCTTTTAATTTTCAATATATATTTAAAAGATTTACCAGAAGACTTAGCAGTAAGAATAGATGAAGACGCATTTGTTCTTAAAGTCCTTGCCTAATTTATTTCCTCCTTTTTGTACTTCTCAGATAAATCCACTGTCTTCTCAGGAAAATGCAGTTTCTCAACTAAACATACATCTTACCTTGGTTTATCTTTTCAGGCCTCACATTCTGCCTGGAATATCTTTTTTCTGAACAATTTCTGATTCTTACTTTTTTAACACGTGAAGTTTCATTTTCTCCACAGACTTTTTTCTAACCAATTTGGAGAAAAATCTGTGAAATTCCTATAGCATTCTTTCTCTTTCCACACCACAATATTTATTTCTTTAATTCTTATATAATATAATTAATGGTTGCTCAGTTGTCTTTTTAGGGCAGTCTATACCAATGTTCTTCTTGGGTTGTAAGATGGTACATTGTGCAAAACAGGACTTTATTAACTTTTTATGATGATCGAGAAAAGGTTCATATTAGGACAACAGTCATTCCTACTCAGCTGTGGTCTGCTAATCTATATTTATAGCTTTTGTTAAAGAAACCATTTTTTTTCCATTTCAGTAGTATTTGTAAATGAAAATATTCAATATTTTCAATATCCTAGATATGTACTACTCAATACAGTCACCACTAACCACATGCCACTGTGTAAATTAAAATTGAAATTAAGTAAAATTACTGGGCTTCCCTGGTGACGCAGTGGTTAAGATTCCACCTGCCGACGCAGGGGACACAGTTTTGAGCCCTGATCCAGGAAGATCCCACATGCCGCGGAGCAGTGAAGCCTGTGGGCCACAACTACTGAGCCTGCACTGTAGAGCCCACGTGCCACAACTACTGAAGCCCGTGCACCTAGAGCCCACGCTCCGCAACAAGAGAAGCCACCTCAGTGAGAAGCCCGCGCACCGCAATGAAGAGTAGCCCCCACTCGCCGCAACTAGAGAAAGCCCACGCGCAGTAACAGACCCAGCACAACCAAAAATAAATAAATAAAATAACTAAATTTATTTTTTAAAAAAGTAAAATTACTGATTCAGTTCTTCAGTTGCTTTATCACATTTTAGGTCTTCACTGACCTTCTGTGGTTAATGGCAACCAAATTGGACAGCACAGATATAGAACAGTGCTTCATAGCAGAAAGTTCTATCAGACAGCACTGCCTTAGACACTTCTAAATTACCATAGTTATTTCTACCTCGTCAATCGTATTTCTTAAAGAAGAGAGTGTCTGTAAACCAGTTTTGACAGAAAATTAGGAATATATATACAGAAATCATGTATCTGGAATCTTAAGTTCATGTCCTGATGCCATATTTGACATTTTGGATTTTGAGAAAATCTGGGCCTTTATTATGACACATTCTTTTAGCTAACTAGCTAATACAGATTACAGTATCTTTACTTAGGTGTCTTTATGTTTTTAGGTAATAAAACAATAAATTTTTTATTTGGAAGATACAAAGAAAAAATTATCATTATAAATTTGACCAGGATATAAAGACTTTTAACTCCAAGAAGCATTTGCACAAAGTAAATCTGATATATGCTTATTGAATTCTTTTAAAGCAGTATGATACTCTTGAGATATTTCTAAAGATAGACAGTGAGATGATGATAAACTCTTAGACATTTGAAATAAATCTTATGCAATGAAACATTTGTTTTATTTATCATCACTAGTAAATACGTTTAATTATGGAAGATAATAAATATTGAATATAATAAGGCTTCAAAAATAAAAGTAGTATCAGAATCTCATAGATCAAACCTAAAAATCCTAAATTAATGAAATCAAAACCAAGTTTATACCATAATTATCTCCTGTACAATAACAAGATAGTCTTTTCTAAATAGAAATTAAAGCATTAATAATCTCTCTAGGGTTTCCCTGGTGGTGCAGTGGTTAAGAATCCACCTGCCAATGCAGGGGACATGGGTTCGAGCCCTGGTCCAGGAAGATCCCACATGCCGCGGAGCAACTAAGCCTGTGTGCCACAACTACTGAGCCTGCTCTCTGGAGCACGTGAGCCACAACTACTGAGCCCATGTGCCACAACTACTGAAGCCTGCGTGCCTAGAGCCCGTGCTCCGCAACAAGAGAAGCCACTGCAATGAGAAGGCCACGTACCGCAACGAAGAGTAGCCCCCACTCGCCGCAACCAGAGGAAGCCCGCGTGCATCAACGAAGACCCAGTGTAGCCAAAAATAAATAAATAAATTTAAGAAAAAAAAATCTCTCTAAGTTGTTAGTCTTGTTTCTTAGTTTACACAATTGGGTGGGGTAGAAATAGTACTTGAATAGACTATTTTTAGAGTGAGTAGCTTAAATTTTTTAAGGGAAATCCTTTTTGCCTTGTTTTTAGGTATTAGCTGGGTTTTTTTGGAAAAAAGGAAGTGATTCAGCTGTAAAAAGTTCATGAAGTAAAAATACTCTTGTAACAATATATAAACGTATATTATTCAAATAGAAACATGGCTTAGTATATGTTTATACACGCACAGAAATACATCATATTTATATACACAGATACACACACAGTATTTAAATGTGACTATGATGGCTCTGTAATTATCAAGAAATGAAGTAAGTAGTTACTTCAGAACTCTCATCCTAAAAGTTAACTAAAAAAAGGCAGTTGCCAAAAGACGAAGTCTTTTTTTTTTTAACTATTTACACTACTTATTTTTTATTAACTGAAATCAAACGAGAGAAACTTAATTATAAATAAATTTGATTGCGAACCCGTAGCGAAAACATATGTATTTGGAAGATTAGGTTTATAAAATAACAAGCGTACTTTTAGAAAGAAGAGTTATTCCTTACCTTTTGTCCGGATGCTCCCTGACATAAGCGCTTGTAGAACAATGAGAAATGATCTCTAATTCTTTAGGAGTCTTGAGAGTATCTGAATCAAGTGATTTCTTCTTGTTCTACTCTTCACAGAGAGTAATGAGGTCTTTTAAAATGGTGATACAAGTGTTTACCCCAGTACAGAAGGAGGAGCTACATGAGCTAAGACAGGCAGCTTGAAAGTACTGATCAGTGAAAATCCAAGGATAAGATTGGGTAGAGGAACTGTGGGGAGCACAACTACGATAAATCTTCTGAAGTACGTGATGATCGCTCCAAAGTATTAGAGAAATTCATGTGATCTTTTTGCTACGGTGGAGGATATCTTGGTGAGCAATTGAAAAAATCCTTGAAGAGTTTCACGGTTTACGGATTGGGGTGTTGTTGGGAAAGAGCCAGAGGTGGGAAGTTGGCAGACTCAAGAAGAGAATCCAAGCTAAAAGAAAAAAGGAATTATTTTGGTAGGTTACTGGGAAAACCTAGAGATAGAGAAGTAAGGTAGAAACTGAATAATTTGCTCAAAGTTTTACTTTCTCCTCACCCATAGCCTGAAAAATAATTAGAAAAGTTAAGCTAAAGAATACAAATGTGACATTTGAAACAAGATCGAAAATATTCTGGTAAGATTTTGAAGTAACAACTGTGGAAAATATAAAGTAGAGAAAAAATTACTGTGTGGAATCCTGTTTATTACCTTGCAGTTGCACCACAGTACTTCATTTATGATGACAAAAGTAGTGTTCAAAAAACGTTAATCTTCTCGATATGATAGTAGGAGTAAGAGAAGAGGAACGTATAAAGTAAAACTTCAAAATTACTCAGCTGTCACAAAGGGGGAAGAAAAAGGAATGGATAAACACTTTTCTAAAGGATAGGAGAGTAGGTGGGGTAGTGATAAATTACCACACTTTTCAAGAACTAAGAAGGTCTTTAGGAATTTGAATGTTTGAAAGTTTTACATTATTAAGATGAAAAAAATACACGTGATTAAAATGTGCTTGTGGACTGCTGCCACACAGCACATATAAAGTTAACTCAAAATGGCTCAGACCTAAAAGTAAAGCTCTTAGAAGAGAACATAGATGTAAATCTGCATGACCTGGGATTAGATAGTAGTTTCTTAGACATGTTACTAAACACCCAAGCAGCAAAAGGAAAATAGATAAATTGGACAGAATCAAAATGTAAAGCTTATCGCTTTGAAGAATATCTTCAAGAAAGTGAAAAAACAATCCACAGAACTGGAGAAAATATTTGCAAAGCCTATATCTGATAAGAGACTTGATTGTGAAATATATATGAAGAACTCTTAAAACTCAGTAGTAAAATATTTTTAAATTTTAAAATGGGCAAAGAATCTGAATAGACATTTTTCCAAAGAAGGTACACAAATGACCAAGAAACACATGGAAGATGTGTAACATCAGTAGGCATCAGGGAAATGCAAATCTAAACTGCAAGATACCACTGCACACCTGCCAGGATGGCTACGATCAAAGGAACATATATGGGCTTCCCTGGTGGCACAGTGGTTGAGAGTCCGCCTGCCGATGCAGGGGACACAGGTTCGTGCCCCAGTCCGGGAGGATCCCACATGCTGTGGAGCGGCTGGGCCCGTGAGCCATGGCTGCTGGGCCTGCGCATCCGGAGCCTGTGCTCCGCAACGAGAGAGGCCACAACAGTGAGAGGCCCGCGTACCGCAAAAAAAAGAATACATAATAACAAGTGTTGGCAAGGATGTGGAAACATTGCAACAATTATACATTGATTGTGGGAAAGTAAAATGATGCAACCACTTTGAAAAACAGCCTGGCAATTCCTCATAAAGTTAAACATAGAGTTACTATATGTCCCAGCACATGAATCCTAGATAAATAGATACAGATATCCAAGAGAATTAAAACCATGTGTTCACAAAAAAAACATGTACACAGATGTTCACAGCAGCATAATCCATAAGAGCCAAAAAGGCGAGAGAACCCGAATATCCATCAACTGATGAAGGGGTAAGCAAAATGTCCATTCCATGCGGTGGAATATTATTCAGCCTTAAAAAGGAATGAAAAGCTGCTGCTGCTGCTCCTGGTGCTTGCTTATGTGCTTG